GAGGCAGCGGCCAATCTGAGGGTGGCTTCAAGCAAAAGCGCGTTGGACGCAGATGGCGGTTTATCAGTGGCGGCGAGAGCAGCAACAACTCTGGCGGGAGGCGCAGGGGACCTCACAGCAATAACAATAATAGTAAACTCAAGTATTGCAACGCCTTTCAGAAGATGGGCGGTACTGAGCCGCCAAATCTCTCCGGCGGACGCTTTGCATCGCTGCGTTAACCCTCACCCGGGGCGTGAAAAAAAAACGCAAGAACGTGAGTAATCAATTGAGGTTGCGCGGGGTAGTAGCAAAAATCAAAAAAAAGCCAAAGAGGTGAAGGGAAGAAGCGTTGAGTTGTCACTTGGAGAAAGTGAAAAATAAAAGGAATACCAACAGCTGTGCCTGTGCGAAGAACACCCACGCACGAAAGGACCATATATGTATATATATATATATATATATATATATATATATAGAAAAGTAAGTGTCGTCTCAAAGGGAAAGAAAGAAATGCATATGCATGCATGATATATTCGTGCATATATGGGTTAGTGGATAAGAAGTAGAATAAACAGAAGAGGTGTGTTTCTGTACGCACGCATTGCGGACATTTATGTTTTGCCCAACGGTAGCAGCTACCGAAGGGCGGGAAAAGGCGATAATCAAACTAACATCATCAACAGAAGGTATTTATCTGAAACCCAAGGGGGGGGGGTCGGGAGATATTGCCTGTTCTTCTTGTAGCCGCATAAAAAAAATGTGGAAAGAACGAGTAACAGTCCGATATTGCGGGTATCAATTTACATTAACATTTTCATGCCTTTTTTTTTTGCTTTTCTTTCTTGTCTTTTTTTCTTGTTGGGGATGGTCCTGCTGTTTTGAGATGTCATTCCTTTTTTTTTTTGCTGGCTTGCATCATTCACGTGCCTCTCTATGTGACTGCCCTATTTGCTATTCTTGCCTTTGCATGCGCTCACGGCCGTACATCCATATCATCGTTAACTAGTCGGTACAAGCGAGGCACACTTAGAGAGAGAGAGAGAGTCGGAGTGAGAAGAAAGTAAGTGAAAAAAAAACAATACTACTACAAGGTGTGGGGGAGGGGGGGACGGGGCAAGGGAAGCTACAGCTATGCCTCGCCACTGATGAGGGTGAAAAACACTTGCATTTTGCCTAAGTGCAGTGATGTCTCTAATCATCGCGACTTTGGCGTGCTCCATTCTCCCGTTTTTTATTTATTTATTATTTTTCACATCCATTTTTCCAGAGCTTTTGCTAAGATACTCTTTTTGCTGTGACGGTTTTGTTTATTGCTGCGAAAGACATCCGCCAGCACAATTTTTGTGGTTGTTGGTTGCTCCGCGTTTGCTTCCTATTTCTGACAGGTCGGGGTAAAGCGGAAATTGTTTCGCACGGTTCCGTGAACGGCAGCCGGTTCGGGAGAAAATGAGACAGCTGCCTCTGTGAAGCACGTAGTGAATTATACTTGCAATGAAGAAGGACGAAGAGCTTTTTAAAAGTTTTTGTTGCGTTTCCGTCTACCTCTTTTTTGTCATTTGCCTTTCTTTTTTGTGTGTATGGTGTGTGAGCCTGTTCGCATTTGTGTGTATTTTCCTGCTACCGCGTGCGTGCTCCTGGATATGTGGAGTGCGGGGATACAATAAGGGTGGATACAGCCCCCCCCCCCCTCCCTTCTACTCCGTAAGGTGTACGTAGCAGGCCCATACAGGCAGAGACGGAGAAGGAAGAGGTTGGAGATGAAACAACAGCAACAAATGGTGTTGAGGCTGGAAAGGACAGCAAAACAAAAACAATAGAAAATAAATGAAAATAGTTGCTTTATACTAATTGGGTCTTTTGTTTGTTTGTTTTTGTTTATTTTTGCTTTATTATTTTCCCAAACGAAGTTGTGCCTGACGGTTAGCGCATGGACTAACTTGTTGGGGAATTTGAAAACGAGAGAGCAGTGAAAAGTGGGTGGCGGCGTCCCTTCTGTACACGACTCATTTGTCGTTAATGGTTTTTTTGTTGTTTTTTCTTTTAGTGTATTTTTGTTTTATTTTTGTTTTATTTGGTTTTGAGCGTTTTTTTTTTTGAGTTTTCCCACTTATTGTTGTGTGTGTTTCCCACAAAGAAGCGTTGGGCTTGTTCTTCCCCCTCTTCCCCCTCTTTCCAATTTTGTGTGTGTGCGTATGTGTTTCTGCGCACCTAAGCACACACATTACAACTACACCAACGTGAAAGAAACCGCGAGACTTTTCAGTTCATTGATTATATTATATTTGCTCACAAGAATGATGCTTTGTTTGTTGTATGTGTTTTTGTTATTGATGTTTCGTTTTGGAGAGGGGGTTGCTTGGCAAACTTGAGTGAGGTACTGAGAGTGAGTGGCTTGTGCGACTCTCTGAATATGAGTGAATTGACGACTATGGGCCAGTAGTGCCCGGGACGAGAGGCTGCCGAGGGTGCAAGAAGGAGAAACAAAAAAGACACGTTCACACGCACACACAGTTATCTACGTGTGTGTGTGTGTGTGTGTGTGTGCATTTATGTCCTTCGCCGACTAAAAGGCGGTGTAGGTTGTGCGGTAGTCAACGCATCTAACATAGGCTAGAGGGTCTCTTCTTCAATGAACATGAATGATTGAATAAACCCAGTACATATAGGTAGATGTATCTAATGTTTATTAATATATTGTTTGTACATATGTTGCGGCGCGTATCACAATAATGCCAGTGAAGGAGCTTGATTTCTCTCGGGTTGTGTTTTTTTTTTGTTTCCCCCGTGTGTCATCATTGCCTGCTTCACGTTTTCTTGCACGTGGTGCTGCCGTGGTTGGGGGTGGAAGAGACAATGGGACTTCAGCACAGAACGAACATGCACACACACACACACACAAAATAAGGTTGGGATTCTCGAGACAACGTGCTTATTTGTACCATAACTCCCCATTTTCGAGATTGCTTTGGTCGTAGTTGTTGCTTTTCTCTGCTGTGAGTGATGCTTTCTTTGTTGCTCTTTTTATTCCGGCGCATGGCTGTCGTTCAAAAAAAAAAAGTGCAGAATAATTCGAGAAACGCAGAAGATGAAAAACAATATGAAGATAAAAAGGGTAAAGAAAGAGGCGGTAAATGAAGGAAAAGAGTCAGCGGTGTATCTCACTTGATTCCCCGGCGTACATGTGTTCTCACGAAGCTTGGGTGTTGGGCCGTCTTCATCCCCAGCGCCTCTCTGTGAGCATACATCACTACTTGTCTGACGTTGAAGTTGCAGTGCATTGTGGGTGACTCTCCGTCGCGTTACTGGAAGTCTGTGTGCTTGTTTGTTTGCTTTCTATGTTGCTGTTGTTTTCCTGTTGTTGTTGTTTTTTTCTTTGCTGCTCGCCATCGCGGCCTCAGCAGGTGAGCCGTCCGGTGTCTTGTGGCGTCACAACACAGACACACGATTACATCTCGTTTTGAGGTCCCCGTGTAATATTGTTTTGCGCCGGAGCGATGGCTGCGATAGCATCAAACTTGCCGATGGAGATGCGGGGGGAGATGAACGAGCTGCGGTTAAATTTGCGGGATTCACAGCTTGAGAAGGATCCTCTTCGCCGGCGTAATCTTCTTCGAAAAGTAATTGCTCTCATGACAATGGGCGTAGATACGTCGTGTCTCTTTACTGAGATGATACTGGCGTGCTGTACGACGGACATTGTTAGCAAAAAACTTATTTACTTTTATCTCATCAGTCGCTCAGAGAACAACGCGGAGCTGGCACTGCTAAGTATTAACACCCTGACAAAAGAGTGTGGGGATGAGAGTCCGTTAGTGCGCGGTCTCGCCCTGCGTTCGCTGGCATCGTTGCGTCTACCAAAGCTATTTGTTTTTTTGATCCCCGTCGTAAAGAAGGGCTTCTCGGACGTCTCGCCTCATGTGCGTAAAACGGCTTGTCTTTGCGCATTGAGGGTGTTTCGCATCTCCCCTGTTGAGTTTCACACGCAACGTTTTTTTGACCGCATGCTTGGGATGCTACGCGACAGCGATCCGCTAGTGTCGTGCAACGCCCTTGCCGTTCTTGTGGAGGTTTCGCGGGACGTAGAGGCACGCGGGGGTGCGGAGGGCCTCTTTGACGTCACAAAGCCCATCTTATATCACTTTTTGAACAAGTTGCGCAGTGTTCCAGAATGGCACCAGGCGCAGATCATCAACCTTGTACTCCGCTACACTCCTGGAAGCGAGGAGGAGATGTTTGATATTATGAACCTTCTCGAGGAACGGCTGCAGAGCCACAACAGCGATTTGATTCTTAGCGTCTGTAAAGTGTTTTTCCACCTGACTCAGAATTACCCTGCGGTGTACCGTCAAGTCTTCAACCGACTCAAGCTTCCTCTGCTTTCTCTCGTGTCATCTGGCTCCAACCCGGAGATTTGCTACGTTGTACTGTGCCACATTAAACTACTCTTGCAGCGTGAACCACGTGTGTTTCAGGATCTATACAAGGCCTTTTATTGTCTGTACACGGACCCCACCTATATAAAGGCAGTGAAGATTGACATATTGTCTATGCTGGCAACGGAAGCATCATCTACAGACATCATTGAGGAGTTTGCGGCTTACGCGCTAGAACGCGACAAGGCTGTGAGGTGTGCGGCTATTGGGGCAATGGGACAGGTGGCGTTGCGTCTGCCGTGTACTGCACAAAAGGTGTTGCAACACTTTCTACTCTTTCTTGAGATGGAATCTGATCAAACTCGTGGGAAGAGTCTTGCTGTGATGAAAGACTACCTGCGCAAATATCGCGACATCGCCGTTGTGCGTCCGTTTCTTGACGCACTTGTGCGGGTCTATCACGAGATGAACTTTGCTGATGAAGAGAGTCGGGTGGCGCTTGTGTGGGTGCTTGGCGAACTCGGTGAACACATTGAGGATGCCCCGTACATTATTGAAGGAATGTGTAATGAGCATTTACTTGCCGAAACGCCGACATTTCGCCTGCAGTTTCTCACTTCCGCTGTGACGCTATTCTTCAAGCGACCTCCTGAGATGCAGCCGGTACTTGGAACAATGTTCAAATTGCTCATCAATGATTTCTCTCACGCGGATGTACACGACCAGGCGTTGCTTTACCATCGACTGCTGCGGCAGAACCTGGCGGTAGCAAACAAAATAATTGCCGGTCCAAAGGCGGAGATCAAATTTTTTGTAGAGGAGCAGAACGCGGTCCTGCGCGACAAACTTCTTGAGGAGTTTGACACCCTTTCGGTTGTGTATCAGCAGCCGAGTGACACTTTTATAAAGCCGCCCACTACGGAAAGCGACGCTGAAGTTGATGACGACTACGACGACGACGCAGCGCAGAACGAGGAAGAACAAGTAGCGAGTGAAACGTCGATGACGGCGGCGTTTGTCAGCGGTAACCCACAGGAGAAGACGGGAAATACAGCTGAGTGGCAGAGCGCGTCTTTTGGTCTTTTGGAAAATGTCTTTGAGCTGTCGGAGGATCCGCATATCGAGCCACAAGAGTTTCAATGCCGTTGGGGTGCGCTGGGTGAGGCAGAGATGTGCACGCTGCAGCTGCAGCTTCAGCAAACGCCAGAGAAGGAGACTTTTGAGAAGGGTCTGGAGGAGTGTGGCATCATTACGTTGGCCTCTGGCGACCAGGGGAATGCGCATAAGTACTACCTGTACGCGCAGGAGGAGGGAAATGACGCTACTCACTTCCTCCTTGAACTCTTTTTGCACAGCTCCGGTGCTGTGAGTGTTACAGTTAAATCCGATAATCCCCATATGCCGCAGTTTATGCAGCTTCTTCAGAGAGTGATAGAACAGTTCTGAGAGGGCGAGGGGAAGTTGTGGAGGAATTGCCAACATAAGCAAGAGAAAAAAAAAGGCGAGCGAATGAATTTGTGTGTGTGTTTGCAGGATGTTGAGATGACAGCTGTCTTTGGATACTGCAGAGTGTGTTGCAGCAGCGAAATGTTTTTCCGTCTCCGCCTTTTTTTTTGTTGTTTTTGTTATCGTCCTTGGGCTGTGAGTACATCATTGGCTACTTTTCTTCCGCAAACGATCCTTCTCGAAGGAAGCAAGATGGTACGAGAGAAGCCTTTTCATCGGCAGTGCGACTCCTCTTCTGCGGTAAAGAGAAGGTGAAAATGAGTGAGAGAGAGAAAGAGAAACAGATGGTTGCGTGTGTGTGTGTGTGGCTATTTCGCTGCCTCGCGCCGCTAGGGAAGGGAGCGAACGCGAGGCTGTCACCTTCATTTTTTTATTTTATTTTTTGTTTTGCGTTTGCAGAGATTAAAAATCAACCAAAAGGAGGGCGGGAAGGGGACCAATACAGAGAAGGGCTCAAAGTAAGATAATAAATTGTTTGCGTTTGGGCGACCGTTGCCCGGCGTTAGAGAGACACCCACACTTAAACAGTCATAAATAGAAATTACACGTTCGTTCCTTGCAGAGCTCCTTGTGGGGGAAATGGAAGACAAACAGGCCTTCTTTGTTCAAAGTGCGGATGGACGCAAATTTAAAATGGTGATTCGTGGAGATTTAGGAAAGCTGAGCGTGGGAAAGATACGACGCTACCTCAAATCATACGGTGTGCCGGATGGGCAGTTGCTCCTCCATGACGGCGTGGCGCTGGAGGACGATGCAGTGGGAAATGATTTTGGGCTGCGCAACAATGTCATATTGCAGTTAGTATCTCCGCATCGTTGTGCAATGATGGGTGGTGTGCGGAGCGAAAGAGCAAGCGATGTTCCTCCACACTTCATGGGAGGAGAAACCGCTAGCAGTGCCCCCTCTGCGATAAGTGCAGAGATCCGAGAATGCCATTCGCAGACGGCCTCCTCGCGTGTATTAGCAACGGCTGCGACAAGTCACATAGACCCAGGTGGCATTCCAGAAGTTTTTTCTCAAACCAATGCTGCATCTGCTGCCGTCTCTAGCAGTAACAATAATAGTAAGAATCATGGTAATAACACAGGTACTGCTCTTGACATGGTGCCGGATGTAGAAAAATTGCGGTTGCGTGAAGAAGTTCAGCGTCTGCGTCAGGAGGTTTCAGAGTTGCGGGAACGTCAGAAGAGTAGCGCCACCAGTGTGCGACCGGAGCCTGTTTCTGTAGATATTTTGCGAACTGCAAGGTCTAATTTACAGCAACTCGGTGAGGACTTGGGGGTTCCCTTGCAATTTGATATGAATCTCACCTGTGTCATTGGAACGGATGAACGTCACACGGTGTTGGTTACCTTTGACCCCGCAACCGAGCGTCTTTATGTGTACTCTACGCTACTGACACAGTTACCCGAGGATACTGCGGTGCGTGTCAAAATGTATGAACTTCTTTTGGAGGGTTCTTTACTTGGACGTGAAGTATGCGGTGGCGGCATCGGCATGTCATTGCAAAATGGCATCGTGATACTGTCAACCACCATTCCGTTGCGTTATTGCTCCTCTTTGGCCCTAAGAGAAATCATGCCAGCGTTTGTTGAAACCCTGGGACGCTGGCGCTCTCTCATCAACGAACTTCTGGAGTAAATCAGCATCTCAGGTTATCTGTTGTATGCGTATTTGTGTATTTAAATGCTCGTGTGTGTGTGGGGTGGGGGGGGGGGAGTATAGTAAAATGTGGTTTGAGGTAAATCACGCATCCTCAGGCATTCTCTGTATACCTGCCCTTCTTGTCGTAATGGTTCCTATCGTTGTCGTTCCATTGCGAGCTCTCACATGACACAAGACAAAAGTTAATTTTTTATAAAAAAAAATAAGCCTAGAACACGAATTATACAGAAGGGACGGTGAAGAGTTGGCGTGAAACTTCACAACACTTGTTTCCCTTTTTTTTTGCGTTTTCTCTTTAGCAGGGGTGGGAATGTGGAAGGCTTATGGTCGGTTGCTGTTGGAATTTGACAAGTGCATGGACCGAGGCGAAAACGGTATGAATAGGAGAAACAACAAAAAAAAACACTTTTTTTTGTTTTTATTGGCGCTTTGGCTTAATGCCCGTGTCGATACCTGCTTGAACGAGACGTGAGAACGCATACGTACGCAAGAGGATGGTTGTTTCCCCCCACCCCCCCTTTTTTTTCCTGCATTTTTTATTGGCCACTTTTATTGGTGGGAATGGCGTTTCCACCTTACGCACGGTCCTCCCTCGAGTTATGTGCGCCTCTACAACCCTGCCAGCAGCAGCAGAACTATAGACTTTGCCGTGTGGTGCCTCGTGATTTTTGTTTTGTTTTGAATGCCTTTGAATGTGCTGGTTTCTTTTACTTGTGCCCATCGCTTCTTTTCTTTCTTGTACGTTTTTGTTCCTTCTGTGGCCTTCTTTGTGATCATTTTTTTTTATATAAATAACATATATGTATATATATTTGGATTATTTGTTTCCATTTTCTATTTGTGTATGTATGTGTATTTGTTTCCCTCCTCTGGGCCTCTGTTGCACTGGCCCATACCTACGTGTTGTGGGAGTATCCACCAGACAAGCGAACTCGTTGTTGAAAAGTCGCGCTACGTAAGAAAGATGCCGCCACCTCTTCTTCAGAAGGCATCTCCGCCACCACCACCACCACCACCACCACCACCAGCATCACCGGCGAGGGATGCGACGAATGGACACTCCGCGACTGTTGGCGGGGCGACATCCGCTCTCTTTGCAGAGATTTGCACTGGTGGTGACAACATTACAGCACAACTGCGTCACGTAGAAGATCACGAAAAGGCGTACAAACAGAACGTCCAGCACGGCGCGGTAGACTTCTCTGGTCTCGAGAAGAAGAAGGCCGAGGCAGATGCAAGGCGTCAACAGCAGGGTAGAACTGCGGCCGCTGTTGCCGCAGAGGAGCCTGTGTTGCATCTTGAGGGCGATAAGCGCTGGGTGGTGAAGTACCACAGGGGAACACCTACTGTACAGAAAAAGGTAACACTTGACAAGGTAAGCATGCGGCAAGCCGTACAGATTTTCAACTCTGAATATCTCATGGTTGAAATCAAAGGCAAGGTCAATTCTGTCTCTGTCGTGTCCTGCAACAAGGTGCAGGTTGTGATGGACAGTGTGGTGTCCTCGCTGGAGGTTCTGAAGTCGGGAGACATCGACGTGAAGGTGCATCGTGCCGTCCCAACCGCCTCCGTGGAGAAGAGCACGTCGGTAAACCTGTACCTTATGGACAAGGATGAGGCGCTTAACACGGATATCTTTACTGCCTGCAGCTCCGCAGTCAATCTCAACTTTCCCTCGGAGGAAGACGCCACCGACATCATTGAGCGGCCGCTGCCAGAGCAGTTCGTCTCCAAAATTGTGCGTGATAAAAGGGGTGGATTCAAGATTGAGACCAAACCCAGCGAAATCACCTAATACGTCCTCCGCGACTTGCAGGCAGCGTATTGAATATACGTGCAGAGGCGCGTCGCATGAGCTCGCGCAACGAAATAAGGGATGAATAAATGGGAAGAAGACAGGAAGAACGGAAAAAAAAAGGGGGGATGGAGGGAGGAATAAGAAAGAACATTGAAGAACATAAAAAAAAGAAAAAAGATCCCGAATTTAACCAGATACAAGCACACATATTTGTTTGCGCTCTTACTCTCTCTCACGCAGACCCATTATATATATATATATCTCTACGCAATAGTGGGCTGAGTCTGCTTACATTTTTGCGTTTTGGGTGGCTGATATCGCATAGTGGGGGGGGGGCGAATGATATATAAGAGTATGAGGCGTGGGCATGGATGCAGCAATGACACAGAGAGAACACATTTTTTTTTTGTTTCAAACATTGCGGTGGTATCACTCTTACCAGGACTCATATATTTGTTTTACTTCTTGTTTACTGTTCTCTCTGTGGGTGGGTTTCTATTGTGTTGTAATTTTCTTTGTTGCGATGGTGTTGAAAAGTCCGTATCCCATTTTAGTTACTTTTTGCTGTTATTTCTACCGCTGAATGACGTTCAAGACGACACACGCGTGGCGTCGCATTATCATTCCACGTTTTTTTTTTGTTTCCTTTTGTTTGCTCCTTTTACCGCGATCGCTCGCTCGACTCTAGTGTCCGCCTCATGTAGAATGCGTGACTTTGTTATTATTATTACTGTTGTCTCTGTTGCTCCCTCTTTGCACTAGTTCTTTTCCATATTCCACACTGCCGTCTCAGTGGGTGTGCGGGCCGGTGCGCAAGGAACAAATATAGAGGAGGAGGAGGTCATCTTGGCATTGTGTGGACGGAGTGTGCAGGGGCGAGGTACTCGCGTGTTTCAGGTATAAGCTGCAGGCATCAAAGGTGCGGAGAAGGACAGCGGGTCATGGCGTCACTAAACACGGAGCTTGCGCTTGTGAAGCGATTTCACGCATTGAGCAAAAACTACGATAACCGTCCGGTGGTTGCTCGCCGCAGCACGCTTCCGGCGCTAGTCCGTTTTCTAGGGAGCAAAGATAGAGAAACACGAAAGTACTCCCTCGCAGCTTTGCATCTCTTAGCAGAGCACCCTGAGAATGTGGAGCTGCTCGCCGAGGAGGATGGACTTGTACAGAAGGTCTTTAGGGTGCACAAGGACGCCGAGTACGATGATCCAGAGCTCTACGAGCTGACGAACCAACTTCTTGATCTCCTAGAGCCTGTTCTTCTGGGCCAGGACCCCAGAAAGAAAGAGGTGCCTGAAGAGAAGAGCATGGGTTGTAGCGGCAGCAACAATTGCATGGAGGACAATACGGTGGATACCAGCTTTTCTTTGGCACGACGAAAACGAGCTGCTCGCGTCTTGCACGGCGTTGGATCCGACGCGATCCACACTGTTATTCTCGATATACCCGCCCTTGACCCTCGAAACGGGGATGACCTCGCAACCATTGAAGACATTTTTCAGTCCACGCGTGGAGTGTTGTCGTACTCCATCTTCTTAGAACAAGGACAGGCGCAGCTGTTTATGACATGCGAAACCCGAGCCGTTCAGCAGTCGCTGTTAGACGCAGGCTTTGAGTCCGTTGTGGTGCGGGATGACATAGTTAACCGGGGCATTTTTGGTGGGGATGAGGGCGATCGCACAAGTAACAATCGTAGCTACTACGACGGAGAGACCCCGCCGAAGCGGCCCTCGTATCTGGAGAGCTTTACTAACACCCTTTATGAGACGGCGTTGGTGCTGCGTGGCGGCGGCAGTCAAGATGACAGCCTGTCCAGTCGCGTGAGGCGTCAGCAGGACCGTGAGCAACGAGGGACCTCCACGTTGGGCTACGTGGCGAATGCGTTGTCAAAGTGGTGGTGATGGCGGACCGGGGACGGGTGCGATGGATTTGAGGCGACGGGAGTGGGAAAACAAAGCAACGGAAAGAAGGGAAAGAGTGGTGTGGCAAGCAAGCAAAAGAATAAGAACGAAGCAGAGTGAGAAGAGAGACACGACTCTGTATTTTGTCATCCTTCCAATGAGATAGAGAGGGAAACATGTGTGCTTTTGTAAACATGCAGTGACGAAAAGTAATACAAATTAATGGCGGGAACAGAACTGCAGTGCTAGTATATTGCGTGCGGCGAAGTTGAACTATTATATACAACATATAGATACTATGGATGGGTGCGATTATGCCGCCATTTCAAACTCTTCCACACTCCTTGCCGCAACTAGTGCTCACTTTAAATGGATATGTGCGGATAAAAATCCACATGCATTTACTACTTCTTTCTTTTACACAAACACAAACACACACACACATAAACAGTTACACGAAGAAAGTGAAAGATCAAAATAAAAGGGCGAAGAACCATAGTGTTGCGCCTGCGTGTATTTCTCTGTTCGTTGTTTATTATAGCGTGAAGCTCGTTCCCTCCCCCCCACCCCCTCCCCCTTCATCTTCTCAGCGGTCTCCAGAAACTTACCATGCCACGTCGTGTCGGTGACGTTTTCTTCTTCTTGCTGCTGATCCTCTTGGCAACGATTCAGCCTGTGGCAGCTGAGGTTTACATTAAGCTCCTCCCCGGGAAAGAATTATGCCTGAACTACGAGGGATACCGTGACCCTGAGGATGATCCGTCCATTGTGGACCTCCGCCACCGTGGACTTGACCCGCGCAGTGTTAACATTCGCACCCGCATTTACAACCCCAGTGGGGAACAGGGCGTTCTGAACGAACGTATCGATCCTTATGGTACTCCCTCCTCACTTTTTTTCAAGGTGACAGAGACAGGTACTTATCGTGTCTGCATGCGCACCCCACTGAGTCACCCGCCGTTACGGTTTGAGATGCGTTTTGTGGGGGAGAACGATCTCATAGACCCAGCCACCACGATAGAGGGGGTTCCCGTGGTTGACAAGCCCGTGGAAGTTGAGGACTATCGAAGCCGCTTGAGAATGTTGGACATTTGTGTGCAGGTCACTCTGGACGAGGTTCGCATGAGCGAGAATCGTCTCCACATGTTTGATGATGTCACCCAGATGACGTACCACATCACGGTAGGGATGCTTCTTCTTAATGTGGCTCTCTCTATTGGCCTGAACGTATGGGCAGAGAAGTATCTTGAACGCTACTTTATGAAGAAGAAGATCGTCTAGTCAAAAGTCAATTGCCTACGTCGTTCGTTCGAGAGAGAGAGAGAGAAAAGGTAGAAAAAAAAAATGATTATAGGACATCAATTTTATGCCAGATAAAGATACTCAAGGTTTTCTGGGAAGATAATGTCATGTATAGTTGTCTTTCACTGTTCACCATAGGTAGGAACATTTCTGTTGTGTATTTTGTTTTCTCATTGTATTTCTTTTATTTATTTTGCTTATTGTTATATGCAGGAAACGTGCTTGTTCACCAATGTTGTGGCGGTGGCGGTGGCGGCTGCATGCCACACCAAATTTGTGCCTACTCCAGGGGGAGAAGGGTGGCGGCAAAGAGCCGTTCCCGTCATATGCGACCTTGTTGTTTCCCCGTAAACTTTGATGTTTGTTGGCGTTTTTTTTTATTGTTGTTACTCTCGCGTAATGTGTTGGATTCTTCAAACAACCAATAAGATAGAGAGAAGAGGGGCATTTCTGCAGCCAAGGAGCTCCACACAGAGGTGGGCATTGCGCTTGTGTAGCAAATGGTTTCAGTATCAACACTTTTGCAGGTGATTACTCGCCATTTTGAGGCCCCTCAACCATCTTTCTTACAGATGCATGCTAACGCCATCATGCGTTTTGTATGCAGTGTTCCGTTAAGTCTGCGGAGCCGCACGGATAAGCTGAACATGATGCAGATTGTGCTGCACTGCCCGCATGCGACTACATTGTTTGCGAAGGATGCCCAGTTAAGCGCCCGAATACTTTTGTCTTTTTTTGTTGATCGCATGGTGGATGACGGGGAGCTTGAGGAGGTGCAACGGCAGATTATTCGATCTGTTAGCGTCAATCAGGACTTGCCTACTCCTCTTCTCTTGACAATGGCACGAAAGCTATCGCGTCAACGACGCGACTCATCACAAATGGATTCTTCGCCGGCACTAGAGCAGGAAGACGCCCTTGTGGAAGAACTTCTCGAGCGCGTCGTTCGCCGGATGCCAAGGTTTGGGCAGGGCATACGTGAGGGTACCACTGATGCAGTTCTGTCGCAGAAGGAAATGCATAAAAGAGAGAGTACTGGATTCGAGAAACCAGAGCTACTGTTCCTCATTTCTACGCTTCGCCATACTACGGCGTCACGCTCGGCCCGCTGGAGGGATAATGGCATGGAGACGATCTCCACCCCGATGCCACTCTCTGCACATATCGTGGAGCCTGTGGTGCAATGTGTGCAATCTTTCCCTACGTTTCGTAAAGAAGATGCGTCACCACGGTCAGATGACTGGGTTCTCATGGCACATCTTATTGGTTGCTGTGACACGAGACTCCACGACTTAGGGGTGCAACTGTGGCGGCAGAAGGCAAGCCGCTATGAGCCAATCGGTAGGACACTTCACAATGGGCTTAGTTTCTCGTTTGCGCTGGCGGGTTTTTTGTGCGCTTTGAAGGGTGCGGCAAAACGCGATGCCCTGGAACTATGGATTGACATTGTGACAACTCCTGAGGACTTGTCTGAAATGTCGCAGAAAATGCTGCGGCTGCTGCTTGTTGACGTAACACTCACGCTTCGTGGTGGTTGTGAGACTCATTTCCATGAGCAACTGATTTTGGGAGGAAATCGTATTTTGGCTGCTTTGGATGCAGCGTATGCATCCTCGTCACCATCGGCGGTGGTTGCGTCGCGCAACAGTGCGTGGACACGCATGTCGTTTGTTAGATTCTTCCCACCTTTAGAAACCCCAAAGGAGCTTGAAAACACTTTACTACGACTGAGGGAGGCTTTTGCGGTGAATGACGCGATGGATTCCGAATTTATCCGAGAATCGGCGGATTTTGTTCGGTTTCTGCAACGAAAGGACTTTGTCGACAAACACATGTTGGCCGCAGTGTCACAACTGTTGGCTGAACGGCTTCTACACATGTTGGAACGACCCTTGTCGGATGAAGAGTGCGCAGTGGCGCTCATTCCTGCCATCGTTACTTTCACCGCACAGTTGCGTGACATCCAGGCGAAGGAATCAAAAGAAGAGGAAGATGTCACGTTGAGGAATTTATTTCACGCGATTGCCATGAAGCTGCTTCACCACGATTCACTAAAGGCCACGCCTTTTCTTATTGCTGTGCTATTGCAGATGATGGAACTGTTTGATTTTACCTCAACTACTCAGCACACCACAAAGGTGCGTGAACTCACCCTTACCGCACTCCGATCGGTGCCGAGCAAGTTGCAGGAAATCAACTCACATACAGCACAGCACTGCCTTGACCTGACACTTCGCGCTGTTCGTTTTCATGTGGCGGACAGCGAGGTGTTAACAGCGGCGCTTGTGGCACTGCGGCATACCACGGATGGCGCCATTATGCAAGAGATGAATTGGGAACAACGGAGCTTGACAATCGAGCGGGGCGCCGTTGTTTACCGCGAACTTTCACACTCTTTTGCCACTCTAAAGCAGGCGAGGCGGCTAGGGAAACAAATAGTAACTATGACAGCGTTGGTTGCCTCAGAAAAAGTTGCCCCACGTGGGCCACCGATGCAGTCCAATGGAACTTGTGGGTATAAAGACTGGAAGTACTTGCGACGGAGCGCGCAGGTAATGTGGTTGGTTGCGGTGCGAGCAGCTCTCTTACCGATTCCGCGAACTCCTGTTGACCGCTACCTGGTGTCGATGCTGCGGTTTGTAAAAAAGTATTGGATTGCTGAGAAGTTGACAATGAATGGGCAAAAAGACAAGATGACAAAGGATATGGTCGTACAAGAGGTTGATGAGAGATTAAGTCGGGATTTTTTGGATGGCCTCCTACCGTTGCTTCATCCGCTTATGGCTTCAGCCTTCACAAACAAGAGAGTTTTTTTTGCAAATTTGCGGCGCAACAAACTCATCATCTCCACTGCATGTGGGGTCTTGCAAAGGAATAAGGATTTCTTGTCGCCCTGTGTGTGGTTCCATGCACAGCGGACGTTGTCCAATCTTCCTTCCGCCCTAACGGGCCAAGCCACGTCACTTGAACTTGGGACACTACAACTAGCTTTGAAGCACACTCTTCGAAATGTTCGGGCGTGTAACAATCGTGGGACGTGGCACTTGACGGAGCACAGAAAGACACTTCGACAAGAAACAGAAGATGAGACTATTTTGACCCCTAAATGGATCGGTGACATGTTCTCCTGCGCGGAGCTTATCGATGACCCCGACTCACGGGCCTATCTCATCTCACTCATCACAGATTTTCTAGAGGCGACGGGCGGAGAGGCGGAGGAAAATGGGGATGGCGCACCAATTTCGGAAGAAGAAGAAAAGACACAGTCAGTTTTTTTGCAAAAGATAATACAGGCGCTGCGGCGTGGTTCTGTGTTGTATGACTGAAGATAACGGTCAAAACTGAGGAAATAAAGGAAGGCGCTCAAGAGATAAAGAAAAAGCGTCACACTGAAGATTTGAAGGATCTCTGGTTTGATCCCGGGTCGCGGCAGGGAATTCTTCTTCTTTTTCCGTTTGAATGGTAGAGGGAATGAGAGAGGAAAAAAACATTTTGTGTAGGCAATTCACTTTTTTTTTTTCTGTGTTCTGTTGGTGTTATGAATAATTGTCTTGTGAAGGGGTGCCCGTGGAGGAGAAGGAAAGGACGTGGATGTGTGTAGCTGAGCACTGCACAGCGTGAAACACTTGTTTCCAGATGAAGCTATGTCTCGTCCTCCTTTCTGGGCTCCCAGGGGCTGGAAAAACGACGTTGAGCTTGACGATGGAGCAGCTTGCAGGAGCGAGGAGGTCTGAGAGGGAAGGTGCGGAGGCTAGGCCCTGTGGAGTGATTGAAGGGATCTTTGAATTAGATACATTTATATCTTCGAATGACGAGGAGAATGCGATGCAGAGGAATGGGACGGCTTTCACCCCAGAAGCATGGAAAAGAGCCTGCAATGAGGTACGTGAGGCGACGTTACAACGACTGCGCCAATGCTTGCTAAGTGCTGAGACGGAAAGGATGGGCAATGGGTCGAAAACAGAAGCATCCACGACACGATTTGTTTTCTTGGTGGATACCCTACCTTATAGAAGCATGAAGGCATCTTACTGGAAACTTTGCAGAGAATTGGACAAGGAGCAGCTTCAATATTATTGGGGAACAAATGAGGCAAAGGGTGAAGGTGACTGCCGCCTCCCTGTCGAAATTGTTTTTGTAAACATGGTGGAGGTTAGACTTAATACACCGCTTGAGGTTTGCCTCAAGCGCAATGAACACCGTATCGAAACCCCACAATATGTTCCTCCTCATGTCATTACAAGTATGAGTGAATCTTTTGATGTCGGCCTTGACGTTTCTTTCAAACCTCGGCTGGACGATAATTACTGGGTGATGTTGCCTCGTCAAGCCACTGCTCCGTGGCCAGTGATACGACTTGAGGATGCGAAAACAAACTGCGATTTGGCTCCGAAGGTGCTAGCTCAAAGGCTGTTGGAACGACTTACTTCACGGGAAGTAATGAAAGCATTGGAGGAACAAAGTACGTCTCTTTTCGAAAATGAAGTGAAGAAACGAGAAAGAGGGATGCATCAGCAAAACCAGCAGCAACTGTGTGAGTCGGTGAAAGCTTCCCGTAGTGATTGGCTTCACCAGGTGGATCTGCATATGCGTGCGATAGTGCAGCGCTACATGGAGGAATTAAAAGAGACTGGTAAACTGCGGCCAGGCATTGGCGTCCTCGCAAGCAAATGCAGGGAAGAGCAGTATGCGCAACTAAAGACGATGTCTGCGTTCTGGAAAGACGGTGAAACGTTTTATGCATGCAAGGAGCTGCTTTTGCATGAACAGATTCTCGAGTTTCAACGGAGACTTTCCGCATTGTAACACAAATGTTAGAATTCCCCACTATTTGGCTGCCAGTATGGACCGCGTGTCTTTCCGCAGGCTTAATGTTTACCAACAACTTTTCATTCCTTCCCATTATTCCGGATTTTTTTTTCTTTTTGAGGTTTCTTCAAAGAAGATACAAATGGATTCCACTTGTGAAGAGAACAGAAACTTGTTTGCGTATCTGTGTAAAGGGCAATCTTGCGGGCGGTGTGTCGTTCGGCAAATTTCCCACGCACGCAGCTATCGCAAAGAAAGTTAAACTTGCGAACACGGTGTTGCTCGGTAAGCGTGATGAATGTTTTAAAAGTGCATATGTTGGGAATTGCGGCCTCATAGTTTTTTTTTTTTTTTGCGAGGGCGATGGCTTGAGGGAGAGCGTGCGCCAGAGATTGTTGAGGAAGACTTTTGCTTGTTTGTTTTTTCTCTGTTTGACGCGATTCGGAGGGTGGAGGGCAGTCGGGGCTAGTCCATTTTGTTATTATCATTTTTTTTTTGCCTTTTTTCTTTTAGTAGTGAGGCGTAGCGAAATGGGCACGGTGGAAGAGGTCTGTGTCTGTGGTGAGCCGCTGCTCAGGGTAGGGCTTTTGACGGAGTTGCTTCGCTACACAAGTGCGTGTCGCCTAGCAAAAACTCTTGCGGCACTCGCAGCAAGTGAACTTCCAGGCGAGCGACAAGATGGCAAGGGTCTAATGACAGTGGCTATTTTTGAGGGGCTGCAATCCGCAGCTGTGCAGTGTGTGACGGGGCGTGACACCCGTCATTGGGTGCATCCTGTGCTGGATGTACATCGCCAGGCCAAAGTCCGCGTGGGAACGGAGGCGTCGAATTTATCGTCTACCGCATACACGCTTGAAGGTGTAGCACTCACTAAGGGTCGCATCTTGGGAGTAATACGAGACAATAATGGTACCAACGCCAGACATGAAGTTTCTGTAGATGAGTTGAGGCTTGCCGAAGAGGCGTCTCTCTTTCATGACGAGCTATTGCCGGCAGTTGAATGCATTCAGCCGCAGCGTACCTCGAGGAGTGCACGGAATTGGTTTCTTGAAAAACTGTGCGGTGCCCCCACGAAGCTACTCACCTCCTTTAACCAAAAGCGGCGTAAGGCCTGGGCACTGACAGACAGACTACTCATTTTATTTTACGAAGAACGCAGGCGATTGGCGGAGCTTAAGGCGCGCATGCAGCGCGAAGAGTCGGCTATCGAGCTCAAGGGCCTCACGCTTACCCAGCTCGAAAACTGTGACGTAGTGCAGCTTGAAATTCGCATCTGCGACAAAACTGACAGTGGGTGGTTTCAGTCCAGGTTCCCAAGGGAAACGGTGCGACATGATTCGCATGATGTGGTCACCACTTTAGAGATTCAGGCGGAACATGTGGCTCGGTTGCGGCGGCTAGCCTTGTGCTCCGAGGATATCCACTTTCGTTTCTCCCTGGCTCTAGTACTACTACGCTATGCCGGTCTGAGTGGCGGGGAGTGGCAGCTGGAATCTGGATGGCACGCAGGTGTTCCCCCCAGTGTTTTTGCTGCTTTGGTGAGTGCCTTTCACGTGACGGTGGAATGTTTTGCAAGTCCGTTGAATTGCACGCTGTCACGATATTTTTCTGCGTTTCCTGACACTGATGCTTTTTTTGGCTGTTGTGGTAACTTTTTTGCTTCCCCACCGTTGGTGCCTCTGGAAGGAGATCCACTATCACTTGAGGCGAATCCACCCTTTGACCATGGAGTTATTGCTGCCGGCTTGGAACGGGCCCTGCGGTGGCTGGAGGATACGCCAGCAACAACGCCACTGTCCTTCGTTTTTATATTGCCTGACTCAGCGCAAGCCAACGGCGTTACAGTACGCAAGAGCGCGGAAAAAAGCCGTTTTTTCCGTGGTGGTTGCGTTGTCCCTTCTCATACGTCCATGTACGTTCATGGAGCTTGTCACGTTGAACAACGGATGAAGCGAAAGCGCCCATATAATGCGTGTGCCAGTGAGGAGGAACTAGTGGTTTTGTCCTGTGCGACAAGATTATTGGTGCTGCAGAACGACGCTGCTGCAGCCATGCTTTCTGCCAGTGAAGGGATAACTAAGGTGCGATCTGCTTGGGAGGCATTATCAGCTTCTGTGGCATTGTGATGCCTCCGCTTTGCCGGTTGGAAGTTGAATAAGTAACAATATTATGTGTTTTATTTTCCGCATCTTAACGAATCTTCGATGGTCAGTGCGTCACCACGTTTGCTAGAACCCTCATCTTTACCCACCCCAATACTACGATGAGTGTTACGTTGATATGCCTTATTTCTCACTTGCGGTGTTTTGCGGTACAAGCCTTACCGCATACTGTGTGACTCATGTTCCCCTGCTGCTCTTTTGCTTGGCTTTGGAATGTGGGATACGTCTTCCAATGGTGAGAGTCGGTCTCTGCTTTTTTTTTTTTTCTATCTTCTCGCTGCTGCTTCTTTTCGGTAATACACACATCTGCCTACGCGCCGTATACAACAACAACAACGCATACGCTAGATATCATCCTTGCGCATTTTCTTCAGTGATAAATGCCACAGGCCAAGAACGGCAGTGGTGGTGACGCTGCAGCACAGCTACAGACCCATAAAGGTGACGACAATAGTACATCATCGGGGCCACAAGACAGCTCGCCAGATGCCATGAAAATAGCACCCTACAACGACGATCCCGATCTTCCCTTGTACACTATTGATCAGGCGCCGAAACATCTTTCCGATAACATATACATTTTAACGGGATACCGTGTGGGATACACTGCACGAATGTGTGCGCGCAGTATTCTGGCCCTTCATAACGAAACATTCAACATTTGGACCCATCTTATTGGTTTTGTGGTATTCCTTTTTGTAATTGGTTGGTTCTTTGTGCTTGTTCTTATTCCCTCGTCGCACCAACAACAAAATGAAGACGCACTCGTTGCTTCCCACACTGAATCAAAAGGAGTGACGCTCTTTCTCTTTGCAGCCTATTCTTTTGGTTGCCTGATGTGCATGCTGTGCAGTTCGCTTTTTCACACATTGTTGTCGCACAAAAGCGCGACTGTATATTCCTGGGTGCATGCGTTAGACTATTTTGGTATCACGTTTCTTGTGGTTGGGTCGTTTCTTCCCTTCTGCTACTTTTCTTTCGCGTGTGAACCGCTTTGGCGCTGGGCGTATTTGAGCATGATTTCTTCTTTGGGCGCTATTGGCTTGTTGGGCCCCTTTTTCAGACAGTGGACGCAGCAGCAGTATGCAAACTCCAGAACCTTGTTCTATGTCTGCATGGTGAGCAGTGGGCTGTTTCCCATCACCCATATCTATTTTTTGCTCCCTGGAACCATTTCATCCTCGTTTGTGAAGGGGTTACTTTTGATGATGACCTTGTACGGAGTGGGAGTTTTTGTGTACGCCTTTCGGATCCCCGAGTTCTTTTTCCCTGGAAAGTTTGATTTGTATCTCTCAAGTCACCAGATATGGCACGTCCTTGTTTTGGCGGCGGCGTTCGTACACTTCTTTAACAGTGCCTCCATGTACGTCAACTTTCGGCGAATGGAACTGAGCTGCTAGCTATGGAGTAAGTGTGGTGTGGGGTTAGGCGCAAAGTTGGATGCATGGATGAGTGTGCGTGTTGAGGTGCAGCGATCGTCTCTCTTCTCTTGCCGTCGCTTTCGAGACGTCTTGCACACAACAAAGCATGGCGAGCGAGTAGACAAGGGAGAGAGTGAGTGATAATTCTCTTGCATTCTCGAATGGAGCTTATAATAATTATATTTATATATATATAAATATATATATTATTATTATTATTATTATTATTATTAAATTACTTTAGAAGCCGCTCTCTGCCGCTTGGCTGTTTTGGTGCAAAATGCAAGTGCAGGTCGCCTCCTGTTTTATCTGCTCGTTATAGGGACTTTTGTCTGGGTGTGTGTTCCGCGACCAGACATAACGATGGAGAAAAACTAACACAACCTCTTCTTGCTGGGTCTTTGTTGTTGTCGTTGTTGTTTCTTCCGTTCCCGACTTGGGCGACGTTGCACTCGTGCAGTTGGATTTCTGCGGCGCGCTGACTCACAAATGCCCCGCCTCGAAGTTGCACACCAGCCAGTTTATTGTATCCGCGTCCGCGTGCGTCAATTGATGTGATATGCCCGGTCGGGGATCGATATGGAGCTGTGCGTATACGACGAGGTACACGTTCTTGTTTTTTCTTTTCCTTCTTGTTTTGAAGGCAAAAAGGGCTAACAGAGGGAGGGGGGGGGATTATTATTATTTTGTTTTGCTTTATCCCGGGGAAAACATATATCTATGGCCTCGACTACAACACCGCAGGAGGCCATGCACCGGGTGGAAGTTGAGTTGCGGCGTTGGGAGCAACAACGACAGAACCAGCAGCGCATGCTGCAACTCTTAACAGCCATTGTTGAGACGTTGGAGACCACCATTATGGGTTATTTCTCGCTCTCGCCTCCGTCTCTTTCTTCAATTGCCTCTTGGGATGCAAATGACGCAGCGATGACGCTTGGTCCGCCAATACAGGCTGCACTTGGTGGTGTTCTGCATACCCTGGCAAGATCACAACACTCTGTTACTGAGGCATGCCTGCGATTCTCCTGGCGTGTACAGGCTGTTGATGAGAAAGTGCAATGTCTCCGTAACAGTGTCGCAAACGGTGCTTTGCTTGTACGAAAATGCATGGACACACAGAGATGCGAACGCGCCTTGAATGCGCTTCTCTTGGCCGCCCTGTCAATTATTGTGCGTTCCGGTTGCGATGTTACTCAGGACATGGCAGAGGGCTTCAAAACAGAGCATTCAAGCGAGCAAGAAGAACAAGGGGTGCCGCCTCTTCTCCCTGCTTCAGGTGTCTCGTCCTGTAGCAATGCCTTGCGGAAGTATTGGCAAAATGAAGAACAGGCTTTTTCTGCAGCTATATCTGACGTCACTGAGGTCTACCACTCTGCTGCGTACACCACATGCAGGCTGCTACGGTCCTCATTGCTGGAGACGCTCTCTGCACAACGGTGGTTTCCTTCGCCGAAAGCGTCTCGCGCACGGCATGCGGCACGTTGCGCGTGGTACCGTGAGATAAATGAGGCCACTGCACGGCGTCGGGCGGCGCAGAAGACCAAATGGGAGCGCCACGAAAGAGCGGCGGGGGCTCTTTTAGAACGTGAATGGTCCATGCTAGTTGCGGAAGACACAAACGGGAAGGTAAATTAATTGTTATTTGCATCCTTGCTTTTTTTTTTGTTTCCTTTTTCTTTTTTCAGTTTGGTTGTTCCTTGCCATTTGGGTGCGGGGGATTGTCTGTTGCACACGGCGTGACTATTTTTTTTTTTTTTTCATAACTGTCTCAGGGTGATGTGTGGAAATGGTAAGGCGTGATACCTCATTTCCGTTTCTCCACATTTTCTCCTGTGGCTGCTGTCTTGCTACTCTTTTTTTTTTTCCTGTCTTCTTTCTTCTGCCACCAGGGGTTCAGCAAGCACGCAACAAGCATAGGATTTCAGTTTAATTGGGGGGACGCAGTCAAAGGAACGTCATACGTTTTATTTACACACTCACTCACGAAAAGGAAGAAAACAAAAGAAAAAAAGAGGCGGTTTTTTCCTCTTGTGGGCCTTACGAAGGCGACGCACACTCAGCTTTAGCTGTGCCGTTTTTTTTTTTTTTTGGTTTTTGATATATATATATATATATATATATATATATATATATATTATAT